GATTTGGTGATGGGAAACCCATGGGGATTACAATTGAGATGAAAAAAATGTGCAAAATGATGTAAAAATAAACTTTAAAAAAAAAAATATAGTGTCTTTTAAAATGTATTTCTGTGCCCTCCCTGGTAGTACAAGTGGTTAAAGCACAGCACTATGAAGCTATCTACAGCCACTGTCACATGAATTCAATACTCAGCCAGGGTGGTGACCTTGCTGGCAGCTGGCATGGCAGACCTCTTCTGTCCCTCCTGCTGCCCCCCTCAGCAGTGTATTTCAATCAATCAGCCTGTTCTGTTTCCCACTGTCTCTTGTGAATTCTCTCACCCCTCACACATTTGGCCTGTACCCCATTTCTTATATGCACAAACAAATAAATCTTTAAAAAATAAAATCAAATATATTTTTATTCTATATGATATTTACATTATCTAAATTTTACAATTTTTTAAAGAATTAGTACTTTTATGTAAGATCATGCTATTATCACATCATCAAATAATATAGATAAATCCCTGTATAACCAATATCTGTAAAACAAATTTTAATAACTGATTCTTTATCAATACTATATGCACTTATTAATTTTATGATAAAATTATGATATTAGTCTTTGACACTATTTTGATCTTAAATAGTCTGTGACACCTAACCATATGTTTTTTAATTTAAATATTATGATAGAACTGATAAAAAATATCTTTTACACTGCTTTCCGTTTATTTGATTATTTTCCTTCTGTTTGTTAGTAAGCATGCTATATGATATTGTTATGATGCAATACTAAATCAGTTTTGTTATGTGTAATCATCGTTATAGTCCTTTTCTGCTCTTTTGGTTACATGTTGCTATTTAACAAAACAACACAAAATTAAGTGACTTTGAATAGCAGCTGCTTATTTTGCTCCCAGATATGCAATTTAATTTGCCAGAACAGCTCACTACTTCATATTGTGTCATCTGGAGTGGCTCAGTTAGAGGAGGGAGCATTCACTTTTAAATGGCCTGTTCTCTTGACTAAGTTGGAGCTGATGGCCAAGCAGGAGCTCAACCAGGGCTCAACCAGAGATCCTCAGTTCTTGTGGCCCACTTCATGAAGCCAGATGGACTTTCACAAAAGTGAGAATACCAAAAGCCAAGGCATGCAGGCCACCATTTCTTATGGTCTCAGTCTGGAAACGGACACAGAATCATTTCTCCTGTAAACAATGTCAAACTGTTTACAGACTCAGCACCAGGAACATGAATCCCTATTTCAATAGGAAGAACATTAATAGAAAAAAAAAAAAGAAAGAAAGAAAACAGTGGTATGTTGTATGTTTTAGATGTAATAAGTTTTGACCATACACAATGAATGGTTTTTCACAAACTCCAGAAGATTTATTGATAGCTGTCTGTTTAGAAATATTTTGTCTAACAGTATACCTGTGATAGTTATATATAAACACATGAAAACTCAAACCTTCACAAAGATACTACCCTGTCTGCCCAAACCTCCAAGATGGCTTCTCCACCTATAATTTTGGGTTCATTCCTTATCCAGATGAAACCAGAAACTATAATTCATTTTTCATATATATGTGTGTGTGTGTGTGTGTGTGTGTTGATTAACATACTTCATTGAAAAGTATATATACAAATGCTACATGGTTTGCCTAAGTTTCTTCTTTGAAAAGTTGATGTTTAAAATTGTTATATTTATTGCTTGATAAAGTTCATCTTATATAGAATCAGCTCCTGTACAGATATGTTACTGATGCTCATTTTATCCTCTCTATATGTCACAACCTGTCACCATTTATAATCTCTGATTCAAGTGCCATCATCAAAGTTATCAGAATTAAATCTTTCATTCTGAGTAATACCAGAGATCCTGACTGTGCTATTTCATTACCTGCTATGAATAAATTTCCAATCAAGAGCTGCCCATGTTTTAATTTTCTGTCTACTCGGCTGAACTGCCTTTTAACTCTGCTAAATTACTAATGACATTTCATAACAGAGATTGGGTTGTCCTGTCTTTACTAGGTAAAGAGAACTTTCTGACAAATCTGTCACCCTTAAGTTTCAGAAGTTTCTAGAGTGAGAAATAGGGATATAATTTAGTGGTCTCCTTTTTAAATTGTTTTGCATATATATCTGACACTGTGTATATGCACTTGATATATCAAAATGACAAAACTGCATATTTGTTGAGTGTAAACAATTCTTGTATCTAAAACTACAAATGAGTAACTTTCTTTCTTGAGTATTTTTTTTCAGTGATCAGATAGTGACTCTCAAAACATAACATAGTAACCTTAATGCTGATATTTTCCCCTTGAACCTTACATTTGAGTACAAAAGTAATATAACCACATGGTACCAGCCAGCATTTTTTTTAAAGATTTATTTATTTATTCATATAGAACTGGGGTACAGGCCAGAGATGCGGAGCGTGAGAGGATTCACCAGAGACAGAGTGGGGAGCAGAACAGGCAGATCGACAAAGTACACTGCTGAGGGGAGCAGCGGGCGGGTCAGGAGAGGTCTGCCACACCACGTGGTCTCATCCGGGGCAGGCAGGAATCGAACTCATGCGGAAGTGGCTTTAGCTTCTCAGTGCAGTGCTTTAACCCGCTGCGCCACCAGGGAGGGCCCGGCCAGCATTTTTAAGGTGACAACTACTAAGCAGGAGGACACTCTTT